GTGGATTATGGTGAATGTGTGGATGGATGGATGGATGGATGGATGGATGGATGGATGGATGGATAGATGGATGGATGGATGGATGGATGGATGGATGGATGGATGGAAGGATGAGTGAATAGATGGATGGATGGATCGATGGGTGAACGGGTGGATGAAAGAATAGATAGACTTCTCCTGTCCTAGAGGTAGGTGTGCTTGATGGATGGGTGGGTGAATGGATGGAAAGGTATATGGGTGGATGGAGGGGTGGAGGGATAGATGAATGGGTGGATAGATGAGTGGATGGATGGATGGATAAATCGATGAATGGATAGATAAACAGATAGATAGGTAAATAGAAAGACAGATAGATTGATAGATATGTGTATATATGTGTAGGTGAGAGAGAAAGAGAGAGAAAGAGAGTGCGCGAGAGCCAGGGACGAGAGAAAAAAAGAGAGCGAGAGAGAGTGCGTGAGAGAGAGAGTGCGTGAGAGAGAGAAAAAGAGAGAGAGAAAGAGAAAGAGAGAGAGAGAGAGAGCGAGAGAGAGAGAGAAAGAGAGAGAGAGAGAAAGAGAAAGAGAGAGAGATATATATATATAGATCGATAGAGAGAGAGAGAGAGAAGGTGCAGTTGGAAACAACATCAAATCATAAAATAAGCATTCATTTTTATTATCTGAAAAAATAATAGTTCAGAAATGTCTATTTTCATCCAATTCGGCAGAGCGTAAAATAAGGAAAACAAACCCCTTCTCGAACTTTCCCACTGACCTCAAGAAAACTTACTCAAGCACAATAAGAACAGGAAATGATTCCTTTCAATAAAAAATAATAACTTCCCGTGTTTTAAATTCTGCTTCCCATAATGCCCCAGTGCCGGGGTACAGCAGCTACAGCATTTCCGTTTGACTGCAGCTCACGGGGTGTGTAAACGATTTTTGTTTCTATTCGATTACGGCCAGAAATTTGTGGTAGAGCGTGAGAGCGTGCGAGAGAAAGAGAGAGGGCGAAAAAGAGCACATGAGAGTGAGGGAGAGAGAAAGAGAGAGAAACAGAGAGAGAGAGAGAGAGAGAGAGAGAGAGAGAGAGAGAGAGAGAGAGAGA